CCACTACGACCGAAGCCGTTGATAGCAACGTTCACAGCGCCACCGACGTTGGCCGTCGGGTTCTGAGCGTTGATAATCTGGAGGAAGTCGGGCTTGAGCGAAGCACCACCAACCAGGAAGCCGTCAATGTCTTCCTTCTGCGAGAGCTCTGGGGCGTTCTTCGCGCCGACCGATCCACCGTAAATGACGCGGGTCTGCTCTGCAGCCTCAGGAGACACCTTCTCCTTGAGCCAGGCACGAATGCTGGCGTGCACCTCCTGAGCCTGTTCAGGCGAGGCCGTAAGACCCGTACCGATGGCCCAGATGGGTTCGTAGGCAATGACGACGTTGGTCCAGTCATTAATCCCGGCGGCGTAGGCGTCGAGCTGCTCCGTGATGTAGGCCACGGTCTGGTTGGCTTCGCGGTGGTCCTTGGTCTCACCGATGCAAGCAATAACGCCCAGGCCCTTTTCGAGAGCGTAGGCAGCCTTCTTGGCTACGACCTCGTTGGTCTCGCCCTTCTCGCGGCGCTCGCTGTGGCCTACAAGAGTGTACTCAGCGCCCAGATCCTTGAGCATTTCGGCCGAGGTCTCGCCCGTGAAGGCGCCGTTGCCTTGCTTCCAGACGTCCTGGCCGCTGACACGCACGTCGGAGCGCAGCGAAGCCTTGACGGTAGCGGCGTGCACCTGCGAAGGGGCCACAACGACCTCCACATTGACTGGAATCTTGGCCGTGTTAAGCATTCCCACGAGCTCTTGCGCCTGGCCCAGGGAGCCGTTGCACTTCCAGTTACCGCCCACGAAAAACTTGCGCGAGCTTGAGCTCATGTGGCGCGCCTGCGTCTTAAACACTTGACGGAAAGACATTATAGATATGGAAATTGGCTGAGGACTTGCTGCTTGGACGGAAAATCCGAGAATGAGCTCAATACGCAACCACCGGCGCTTCTCCGGTCGAAGTCTGAGAATAAAACCTCAAGTTGCAACTTGAGGGGGTCGATGATCGCATCGATCCAAGCACCAAACGCACCGATCATGCACATGTATCAACAAGCAAATCAATCATGTACATGTACGGTACCGTATGCTGCTTTGGTTGCTTGCTAACAAAACCAAGAAAGGATTAGAAATGAAAGCATAAATATTAAAAAGAAATCACTACATGTATTAGTATTTATCGACTGCGACACAGAAGTCCCCCTCAATAAGCGTAGGAGGTCGTCTGATTAATTTACATAGGGAATTCACAGCAATCTGGTAATATCTCCAATATGCTCTCAATTTAGGTGATCCGATACAAAGCGGAAATGAAGAACATGGTACGGGGGACTTCTGTATGACTTTTAGTAATGCTCAAAACAGATGGAAATGCACATTGATTGCTGGTGTCCACATCGATTACCATTTACTATTTGTATTAGGGAATGATATTTTTTACACACACGGCCTGCCATTTTTAGCGTCGGCAAAATAACTGCAAAACACAAAATTTGTGTTATATAATAATGTTTTATTTAAGAATTGGGAATCGCGTCAAATATTAATTGTAGCTAAAAAAATGTTTTTAACACTTTTATTTTATCAATTAAATGTGTGCTAAAAATAACCATTTTTTGCTAAAAAACTTCTGTTCGTAATTTAAAAAGGGACAGTTTCATTTGAGAATAAGTAAATAATAACCGATAATCTAACTTGGCACTTTTTGACAGATGCTAGGACTTCATAGGCCTAAAATTTATTTTTTGGATTATCTTTATTCTCACTTAAACAGTCATAATAGACTTAAAAAGTCATAATAAATTAATGATGGAAAAAAATGCAAAAGCTGATAGCTATCGGTGGCCAGCCGTGAACTATGGCTGTGGGCGCGCGCTGGGCAGATATCGCTCAAGTTGGCGTGCGTGTCAACGTTTGGTGTAGGTGTGGATGAGCGTGCTGCTTCAACAACATACAAACAAAGCAAACATGACCTATATCCTCGGCTATCGATGAGCCCCAGGCACACGAAGTTGTGCCGCCTTGTCCGCGGACATTGTTGCATATGGCGACGATCATAGACGCTCTTCATTAATGCACACCCGTAGGAAAGCGACAGATGCAGTGTCGTAGGCAACAACGATGGCTCTGACGAGGCTGCAGCGAGCGCGCTGCAAGCTCCATCAGTGAAACGTAGCTCCTCGGTTGGGCATCGGATACCTTCAAAAGGTGATATCACTTTTCCACGAGATCAAATTTATTCCATATCTGTTTCGCTTGATTTTGCTATTCCGGCGAAGTTATTCCCGCTCAAATGAAACAGCCCCTAAGGAATATGACTGCTCCAATGCATAGGACTTGTTTCGTGTGATCCCGGAGAGTTCTCATAGGCCATGTACATGTACACAGTGTTTTTGTTTTGTTTTGCTCGCAATTAAATTAGAATTTTGCTGACGAATGTTAATCTTAATCAAAAAAAATTGCGAGCGTCTACGGTATTGTCGATGAGAAAACGTAGGAAACACACGAACGGATCTGTAACGGGGTACGTAGCCCTAAGTGTACCCTGGTTACATGAAGTGTGACACTTCACACTTCAGGAGTATGACACGTCATACTCCGGGATATTTGGAACAAGGTACCAAAGTCGTTCAAAGCCAACCATTGGTTAAATGACATTGCATTTCTATAGGTAACTTATAGTTTGTATTTAACCCGAGCTTATCCTACCTATAAATATACTCAGTTTACAATCTACCCTATTTGGGTCACTTCGCTCTCTTTAATAAAAGAGGGGACCTGTGAACTGCCGTTCACTGAGAGTTTGTATACTCTCGGAAGATAACTTCCTCTTGCGCAAGGTGCTGTGTGACCCCGTCACACTTGGTAGCACT